AGATATATTATCCTGAGTAAACTAGTAGCAGTTAGAATTTTGTGGCTTTTTCTTACTAGATGAGAACAGTGATCATTTGTTCACTAAAATATACCATCTCTGGCAGATTTCTTTTATAATTCTGTCCTCATTCATCACAGTGCTTATAGAGGGTAATCCTTTATTATGTGCAATATAAGGATCATGTTCTACTCCTAATCAAGCCAAAATGTTCTTATAAAAGTATGAATTAGTAAATCAAGTAATATGTTTTAAAAATGTGAATATATTTATTAGATTTCAACATAACAGCATCTTAATGTTTATAAAAGAATCTGAAAATGGTCTTTGTTAGTTTCAATGCATAACTGAGTCCTGAAACACCAAGAATTATTGGTAATCTGACAAATTATACGTATGTGTCATATTGGTGTCACATCCTCTGGAATCAAACACCAAAGCATATCCTGCATGTTGACTCCTGAGTAAACTATGTTCTTCAGATTGCCCCCACAGGCGGAAGTCAGCCAGTATGAGGTTGAGGGATCATGAAGACCACTTCTGTACACATTACTTCATTCATATTTTAAGATCACGAAACTGAACTACGATAATATGCCTTCTTTTGGTACCACAGAATGTGTCTACACGCACACGCGCGCGCACACACACACACACAAGAAAAAAAAGGAACATAACAAGTAATGGACACTTGACAGCTATTCCAAATCTGTAAGTCTCAATGTTTGTACTTTGAAATGTAAATTCTAAAGAATTAAAAACAAGATTAAGTATAACACAACTTACCGAGCAAAATCAACAAAAGCCAGATGTCCATGATAAAGTGCTGGCTTCATTGCATTCCAGAGGGACACATTCCATACAAACTGAAACTGAAAAACAAACATGCTATAATAAAAACATTAAAAATAATTAATATTTAAATTATGCACCAGTGCTTGTTACAAAACCCATGGTTTATCAGTCACCTATTCTTAGCCCTCTCTCTACAACACAAAGACAAGACAACATGATAATTACAATATCTGCCCCAATTTATTACTTCAAATTAATTTTGACACCACTAACATTCAGAAAAATGTGGATAACCATATACAAAAAGTCTGAGTGATGTTCATTCAGATAACAAAGACAGTCAAATAATGTAACAACCATAACCAAGCTAACAAAACCTGTTGTGTGCATAGCATCAGATGGCATCACTAACACAAGCTGTATCACAAACTACCATCTCAAGATTAAAAACATTTTGAAACTTGATGTATGATAAAGCAAAAGAATACTGTAAGACTTGAGGTTCTCACAGCGGTGAGTATGAAGATATCCGTCTCCTGGGTTATTGCGCTGTGTAGTCTGGTCGATGTTAACCAACGTTTCAGAGGTCATACTGCCTCCGTCATCAGGGCGATGAATATGCCAATAGGGTGTGAGGTGCTGGGTTTATAGGCCGGGAAGTGAAAGGGGTAGCCTGCCCCGAGCCAATGGGAGCAGGCATGGGAGTGGACCAATGGTAGCATGTGGGCGAGTGGGAGAGGGAGAGAAAGTAGAGAGAGAAAGGTGATTTTGTTTGTATGGATCAGGGCCCTGAAAAGGGTCATGTTAGTGGTCTGGTTGGTTCTGGCGGCGCACTCTTGCTCGCTCTCGGAGTCCTCGAAGTGTGTGAATAAGAGGCTTCCAGGACTTCACCTGAGCCGGTCCTGGAAGCCTCTTATTCACACACTTCGAGAGCGAGCAAGAGTGCGCCGCCAGAACCAACCAGACCACTAACATGGCCCTTTTCATTTATCATTCTTTATTCATTGTTCTTATCCTGCTTGCATTCCATTTACAACTAACATCTGCTTCAACTATCACTCAACTTGTACATCTATGTTTGCTATTGTAGAATGTTTGGTACAGGATATGTGACCACATCGTCTATTCAGCGAGTTATGATGACTCAATGTGTGATACTGGCTGAAAAAAGCAGTGATGATGGTCAGGTGACTAAAACGTGACTGTACAATAAATTATGTAACAAGTATAGCAGATGGAATTTTAAAACATAATTTAAATTTCAAATTTCAGTTAGCAAATTGTATAATGAAAAGAGTTCAAAAGAAATAGTGAAGAGCAACTCATACTTCTGAACTAACAGGCATACCTGGTTTTTAAGAGACAATGCATGCATGTTCCCTGTGATGTTGATGTGAAGCACATGAAATCCATTTTGTTTACATAAGTCATAGGCTACACCCACAAAACTCGTTGAACCAGTCTTTGGCACTCGATTGTAGATCACAACTAGATCCTGAGTATTTATGCTCGATAAATGATCAGAACTTCTCCGCTTGTCCACTTCACGCAGCTGTATTCGTGCAACTGCCAGTTCTAGATGTACAGCAATAATTCAAAAAACATACAATAATTATTCTAGATATATGTAAAAGACATAATTAACTACTTAAGTGTAAAAGAATATTTTTTGTCACAATAAAACATATCTATGTAAATGTCTTCATAGTTGAACTAAAAATGTTTGCTGGATAATGTATTTTAAAAATCATCATACATAAAACCATCATTAACTGAAAACAAACACAGAAATTATTAATACCAACAACAAGTCTTCTTTACTCATGTAACAGATTTCTCTAAAATATTTCATGCTTGGATCACATATAGCATATTTTGTATGGTGTTGACACTGCCTGATAAGTAAATGCAGTACTGCACTTAATTATATTGCCCTTCTTAATGTACATTCATTCCTCTGCTGTGATACCTCTTCCGTATTACCAACAGAATGAAAACATTGTTTTATATCATGTCAAAAAAACTTCTTACTGGTATTACATTTATGTTCCTTAAACTTTCTGTAAAAAGACACATACTACTTTAAGCATGGCAGATCTGGAATTAATTACCAAGCTTATGTTTGCTGTCTTCAAGTCTCATTACGCGCATTTGAAAGTAAAATGTAAATATAACACAACATAACACTACTATAAAAAACCACATTCGAGGAGCCAATGTGCGAAAAAACATGACGGTGACAGATTTCAACTTGCTCATAATTTCATGCCCTGTTTCACTGCCGCATATCGTCCAGACAGGTCCTACCTTCGAATTCACGTTATCTGAAAGGACAAAGTAAATTAGGGTTGCGGGTTGACATAAACGTAATGTCCTACACGATTTTATAACTTTCTTTGCACATAGTATGCAAACAATGACTGTAAAGCATACCTTACGTCGTTTTCAATCATTCTTCAACAATTTCACTACTTCACACCTGTCATACACTACTCTTTCCATAACCTGCCATGACCATCTTTCGCTCATTCAAATGGAAAATTGTTATACTTCCGAAACAACCTTCTTCGTGTGTTACCCAATCAAAAATAATTTCGGTTTTAGAAACAAAAATGTGCAATCAGAAATAAAGCCTGTTTTCTCCTTTAGTGGCTCTCTTGATGACAAGTACACATTATTTTCAACGAAATGTAAACTGTAACATGTCACAGATCACTTATTAGGTAGGACCGCAACATACAGTCAGTGTCTGGCATAATTTCTAGAGATGTCGCTACGCCACAGTTGATATACGTAGCACAGTATTGAAAGCTTTAACGGTGCACACAGAAAGTTATCTCTGTTGTAAACGTAAAATCAATGTTGTCTACCCTGTATGTCTCCTTTGATTGGCTGTTCATATTTCAAACGAATTTCGGTGATTCAAATGGTCATGCGACGGAGATGTAAAGTATCAACGGATCAGAGACATAAAATGCATTTTGCAGATTTGGACATTGAATTTGTAACTTGTATTTAATCCAGGCTTATAAGGTGGTATTCAGCGTGAGACTTAATGCGGTTTTTGTAAAATTAAATTGTCTGGTAGGTTTTTAATATAATGGAAAAGAAATACAATGGAGTCTGCTTTCAGGTAAGTTACTTAATGCAATTTTAGAAATACGTCAAGTATTTCTAAGTGCTAACGAAAGAAAATAAAATGAAACCTATTTCCAGACAAACTTCTTACCACATGCAGTGGCTATTTTCGAAATATGCAAATGTTTGGAAATGAGAGAATCCTACCTTGACTGGAAACTGATTGTTTTGAATATTTCATACTTATCTTAAACGAATCTTATGTTACTAGAGGATGTGAATAATTCCTTCTTACATTTATCATCTTAACAGCCATGGACAATACTGAATGTGGGTTCATAACCTTAAATTTGTAATATTAAAACTGAAGCATTCAGTATCTGCATATACGCTTTGTTTTCTCTACTATATTGTCTTCTACCTGAAAAGTCATTTAGTTCTCAAGCATGTCATACCGGCAGTAAGTCTGCTCAGGAAAACAATAGGCCATTCAATCTGCTCCATACAAATGATAAGAACTGTTTCCTTCATGTTCCTTAAATAAGGGTATTATCCAATCACCAAATCCACAAGGTCAGTTTATTAACATATGCAGTCAGGTGGCATATTTCTTCACTTGAGTTAATAAGTGGATTGCAGAGCTTGAAGAATTTGAGTTTTCTACACAAAGTATTTTTTCATAGCACTCTGTGCTATGGGGTACTTGAAGATCATGTGATCCTCTTCTGATTTTCTTAGGCTTCTGAGAAATGATTTTGCACTACACTTTCACTAGATATAGCAGACAACCTGAGTGTGGCTTGCCCTTTATACTGACAGTTTCCAGAAAATTTTCACATCATAATTTTATCGAGTTCACAGAAGGAGCATCCTTACTGTATGTGCACTGGTAATTATGCTGCACAGCAAGAGGTGACTTTGACTGAACCAATAAATCAACTGAGCCTTTTCTTGTGGTGTCGACATTTAGTATCATGTAGCGCTGCACAATCTAAAATCTGAAATTAATGAAAAGAGACAGTATTAATACAAACTTTTTTGGGTGCTGAAGTTATTAAACTTTATGGACATTGCACATTTAGTGACATGCCAACAAAGGACTTTGCTATTTTCTTGCAATTTGAGTAAATGTTATAAAACCTACCTAGGTTATATACTGATTTATATAATACAAATTTCACTAGCGCTTTTCTCATAGCATATGTTGAATTTAGCTGTTTGTGTTTCAAGGCCAAGAAATTAAATTGTGTTATCCAGTTTAAGCAGCCAAATAAAATGCTGCTGAAAGCCTGTTGTTATCTTCAGGCCAGGTACTGCTTGTATGTACTGTACAGAGTACAGTGAATTTCTGTATAATGTGAAAGTAGTGAGCTCAGAACTCATGACCAGCACAGATTTACAAAAGGGAAAAAGAAATGGTTTCATAAAAAATATGTACTGACAGCAAACCTGGACACAAATAATGAGCTGACTGACCTTTAGGATATTGTTTCGTCAATGGAAAGAAATTAAAAACCTTTAAATTTAATTTTAATTTAGTTGTCATAATTTCTGACATTATTTTTGCTTTAAAATCTAAAGCTTCATATTTATTTTAGGTGAAGGTAACACCAGAATCAAGAAGAAAACCTAAAACAGAAGATGAAGACAAGGATGTTCTTATCTTGGCTCCTTTCAATAAATTACCAAAGCTCCTCTTTGAGAATGTTAAAGTGGGAACTTCAAAGTTGCAGCACATTATAGTAAGAAATCCTAATGACTCAAGGATTGAGGTATGTTGCTTTCATTTCCGTGTTGTTGATATATGTGTGTATAAACACATGGGTTTCATAATAGGTCTTTGGAGTGCAGATTTGTGTATGCCCCTCTTTCTCTGTGTGTCCATGTGCATATATGTAATTTTTATTATTCTATCCTGTATCTTCTCTGTTAGTCCTTATAATGAATCTGTGTCTTTTTGTAAACAAATCAGTAGAGAATAAATAAAACATTAAATGTTCATGCATTTTACTGACAATAGTGTAAAGTACGTACATATAATACAATTTACTTGGCTCTTTTGTGAATAAGAAGATAAATAGGTAATAATTAATGAATAATCCTGTTTATGAAATACACTTACATTTTTACACCACCTGCTATCTACTGATATGCTGATTCAGACAGTATTTATGGTGTAGTTTGCATGGTATATGTATTTTTTGTATCAGCTAGGAGCGTTCAGGATTTAAAATTTGCAAATAACTAGTGTGGAAACTATATATTGCGGTACAAGATTATACCTTCCTCATCTTAATTACTTAATAAATCCTGTGCTGTAATATATGTGATTTGGGGTATAAATTAGCTTTTATTCATGCTGTCTCTCTCAGAGATCCTTGCTGCCATCAGGGTAATTAGTGGTCACCCTGATGAGCAAGGACTTCTGAAATATTTGTAAACTTCTACCAGACTATATTGTGCTACAACCCAGAAGACAGTCATCTTCTTACTTGCATATTTAATGTAACCTGAATGTTATTTATGCCATAAGATCTTATGATCTTGGATTGCTGTTGCTCATATGTTAATATACTAGAGATACTAATGGCTTTCAGCATAATTATATACAGTGTGTGTATGATTTTCTAAATCACCTATTACAATTTGAATAAAGTATTAATTTTTCTTCCAACTGTAGATACAGCTAGATAGACTCCCTCCAGAAAAGTGTGGCCTTACATTTAGTGTTGTGAAATTTGATGTGGAAGCACATGAAGACAAATGGATTGAAGTGATATGGACTCCCTCTAAAGTTGAGTCACTGCATCATGTAATTCAAGTTAAAAATAGTCACCGTCTTAAACTGGACATTTCTATTGCTTGCACTTCTGTCGATCCACAAAAGGTAACAATGAACTGATTGTTATTCAAATGGAAGAATAGATCTAACTCCCTACAAGTCCAAATGCTTCTGTGTAAACTGGCATCCCTAACCTGAATTGTTGGAAGCACCCTCCCCACCTCCTAATTATACACATTGCAGAAGTAACTATCTTCTTGGTGTTTCAGACCATTCTACAATATGCAGACAATGTTTTTTCTACACATTAGCTTCAATTCCTGAGTTATCTTAAAATGTAAAATATTTTGTATGTGTGAAATAATAGGGTAAATCTTGGGTTACAGTCTGTTTGAAGAATGTAGCTACAATATTTTAAAGTACCTTTAACAAGGTTATAATTTATAAAAGCATAACTTTGTTAAATATCTAATAGAAGTAACATTCAGGGGGGGAAATAAATAATTTAGTGATACTAAATGTGCTATAAATAAAAATACTTCAATATTAAAACTGATCTTGAACTTTTTGCTGTGAAAACATTATACTAGGACACTACAATTGTTATTCACCACTGTCAAAGTAGACATAAAGGTAAGCTGTAAGCACAGAGTTTTGATCCTATAACTCATTGGAGTGTTTCAGAAGAAAGACAGAGAAGGTTGGGAGAGAAATATTTCATGTTATGCTCTTTTTAGAACATCTTGAAAAAATATATAAACAATGTTCACATACTGAAATAAATGTGCTTATAAAAGAATGGATGTTGTAAATTATGAATCCACGCTGGTCTACGGACTGCATGAAGAAATGACAAATCAAGTGGAGTTAGGAAATGTCTATAAATTTGTTGTTATTTAACTTCTGGCTGTAGGTTACAAGTGTTCAAAATAAGTGACTATTTGCTGTTTTTTTCCCTTTCTGTGTCAGTTTATTTTTTCTCTCTCTTTCTCTTTTAGGCAAAGAAGAAAAATGTGAAGCCATTGAAAGTTCAAAATGCTCATGTGAATGCCTTACTGACTTCTAAAAAAGGTGGTGTGAAGCCACTTTCATATTCAAAGACTGAAGTTTCTTCTGGGATAAAGAAGTCTGTTAACAGATCCTTCAGACCTACTTTTAGTACAGTTAATAAACTGAAACAGGAGTACAATATATCAAGTGAACAATTCGCCACTATCAAAGATAACAGACTACCACCATGTTCAGTTCCATCCACACCAACTAGACGGGAAACTTATCTTGTTTTCCAGGAAACTGGGATAGGAAATAAGGAAAATGCAGAATTTAAACATATGCAAAAGAGAACAAAATCAGCTAATGATATCTGTGTACCTGTTGATTTGAGACAGAAACAATTCAGAACATTTGAATACTCGTCTTCTATTCAAAACGTTTCTCCTGTGTTAGCCACACCACCTCGCCAGAGAAGGTGCCAGTTTGGTGAGAAAAATGCAGAACTTAAATTCCATACAGAAATGTATTGCAGGAGTCTGCATAAAAGTTCACTTTGCACTGTTGGAAGGAAAACATATGCAAAAGAATCAAACAATGATTTGTCACCAGATCCTAATCAGAATTTTTTTGATAAGTTGAACTGGTTGAGTTTCACACCAACACCATCAAGGACAAACCAAGCACAGCAAGAAGTTGCATCCAATTTGCAGTATTCCTCTCCTGAAGGTAGTTTGCTTCCTCCCTGTAATATATTACCCACACCTGATCGCAGACAAACGTATGCAATTCCTCCTGGTTCCAAACCTGAAAATGAATTGCAAATGCAGTCTTCTGAGGAGACTGTGTTTACATCAAGAAGAATTAGACATGTGCACACAACTTGTACTTCAGTCCCTAGGATTCAGCTTGAATATGATGAGTTTAATGATAGTTTGGAAGAACAGAATGATGTTTTTAACAAGAATGTGGTTACAGAAAATGGAGCAGAGCAGTGGTCTCAGTGGCAAAAACATAATTTCTCTAGATCAGAGGGCAGTTCAGAAGAATCAGGTGGGAAACATTGTGAATCTGTGGGAAAGACACCCAGAAGTAAAATATACAGCACTGGATTGACACCACAGTTTGATAAACTCAACTTCAGCAGCCACAATTCCATTTCAATTTGTCCTGGGTCCCCAGTTGATTTCTCTTTGTTACCACCAACAGAAGATACCCGCAGGTGTTCTACTGTTATGAAGAAACTGGAGCAGGTGTCTTATGACTCGCCTTGTAATACAGTATGTAAAGACCTGTTTCCCACAGATTTGGTGGAATATGTAGCCAATGACTCAATGTCTGGTGAATTGAGTTGTCTAAGCTCAGGGACATTTGTGAAGTCTGGATCTTCATTTCCTGATATTAATTTCCAATACCCAGATATCAGTTGTCAAGAACCTGTAAGCCAACAAAATAGTTATAAATTGGATAAAGAAATAAATAAACCTCTAGTTTCCTTGAGCCCAGAACAAAACAGTGCAAAGAGTGTCATAGAAGCAGGTTTGTGGGTAAAACAAAGTGCAGAAAAATTGTTGGATAAAACAACAGTTAGTTCAAATGTTCATGTTCTAAACACAATTTCAGAAGAACCAATATCTATAGACAGTTTTTCACATAAGGAACAAAAAACAGAAGAATCTAAAGAAAAATTATCTGCTATTCCCGTAAAACAATTTAAGAAATCTGAGAATGCTGAATCTGGAGGAGTCTTTCTAGAAATTTCACCACCCAGAAAGCAGGTATATGATTTATGTGGCAGTACAACAGATTCTGTTCAAAAGCAGAAGACATCGTGCATCACTGGATGGTCAAAGACTTCTGTGAAAAGTAGAAATTATCAATGTTTAAACTTCACTCCAGGTAAAAATAAGTTGTGTAATACAGTAATTTACTGCTATTTAAAATTATGCATTACAGTAATTTAACATTTATTATTAATTTCATTTTATTTTCTTTAGGTGTATCTCATAAGCTTAATGGTACCACAAGCAATCTGACAGGGAAAAAGAGACCATTTAATGGCATTAAGATCAATCAGAATGTCAGTAAACGGCGTATTTTGAGTGATGGTAGCATCCACAACACCAACATCCAAAGAGGTTTGAAGAAACAGTATACTGTTACTAATTCTCTGCATTGCATCCTTAAAAGGACTTAATGCAAATTATGTTTGTAAAACACCAAAGAATTGTACCCTGTAACATAAGTTATCAGTCAGGGTGACTGGTTCTCATTGCCAAAGTAGCACAATAGTATGTATTCGGAATGTCATCTATTTAATATCTGCCTTTGTCACATAGTGTGCTGCATTGCCTTTTCATGTTTGATGGAATTACAGAAACGTTTTTCAAACAGAATGGTCATGTTTCAACAAAGTAGTCATGACTAACATGTAAGACCTATTATGATTGCCTTCTGTTGATGGCTTGTTCATGTTACATAATATGTCCATATATTATTTGTCTCTTAAAACCTATTACTATCAAGTTATGTTTCTAATATGAATGTCACTATTTGCTTCTAAAGGACTCTGCTGCACAGAATTATACAGATCCTGAACTTTTATTTTTGTTTCCAATAGGTGTATCTGCTCAACGACCTCTCAGAAGAGGTTCAACCTCTTCTATACCCCTAAAAGTCCTTACCAAATTAACTCTGTCAATGAGTAAGAAGCAAAAGGAAGAAGCTGTTCAACTTCACAACCCTGATGCTGTTCTTAACAAACTGGCAAATCCTGGTCTTTTTGAAGCAACTAATACAGCTGAGCCATTCACTACAAGCTCTGTGTACTATGATGAAGAATGGATGGTGCAGCAAGAGAAGGAATTCACCAAGTGGCTCAACTCTCTGCTGACTCCACCTGAAGAACTCAACAGCACAACTGCCCTTCCCAAAGGTTTCAAACATAAAATTTAGCAAGAATAATTCCCATTTTCCTAGTAAAGTATGAGGCATATCACTTACAGGGTGATGTAGTTAAACTAGATCCACCATTCAAAGCCAGAGCTTGTCTAAATAATATTTAAGAATGAAGTCCATATTGCAAAGGAAACAACACTTCACGTACAAAGCTCAGTTGGTTAATGAAATGTTTATGAAAATTATTACTGTTTCAGTTTGGAATCATACAATGCCCACAAATACAAAATGCAAAGTTACTGATCATTAAAGCTGTCAGAGGGTTAAAATGATGACAAAATGCCTAAAACTAATGCTGCTGCCTACTCTCTCCACAAATTCAAGGAAATGTTGAATTGTCCATATAAACAATTCAGTTCAATGTTTTAATGAAACTCAATTCATCACCACCCATTTCAGGAAACATTTGATATAAGCTTTAAAACAGATAACTGTACCTTTAAATGCAATAATAAACTATAACTCTAGACAGTAGTAAAGAATTTAATTTCTCTTCTTCAAACATTGTAATAAGTTGTTTACATTTCAGTGGACGTGGCAGAACTATGGATTCAGAGTTGTCGCAAGCAAGACGTAGTTCCTGCCCCAACTCGAGAGATGGTCTCTTCTCAATACCACACCAACCATCATCTGGATGCTTTGCGCAAGGCTGCATGTTCATTGTTCCGTTCGCAAGAGACTGCTCAAGTACTGTCCAAAGTTGCAGTACATGTTGATAAGAAGTTGATAGCAATCCGCAGTGACAGGGATCTCCATCTTGATTTTGGTATGTAAGAAAATTAGTTCGGTTACATATTGTTGAAGTATTATACAGTATATCCATTTTTGTGCGGTGTAGTTTTAAAGCTTTACTATTTCTTGATAGTATATACTAGGAAAGTGAAACAATCACAAACTGAAGAAACTCATCACACTCCACAGCTCTAATTGACATTACAATAAGTCTGGCATCACTTCCACTGCCATAATTACACATTTCTTTTCACCACAGTGTTCTAAAACTTATTGCTTGTTTCTGGAACCTGAAACTAAGCTGTACCATAATGAATTCTACTAAACATAATGGTATGAAGGTGCACTGAATATGTGGATTCAAGTCAATGAATTTTGTGTCATGACAGCAGTGGTTCATTATTTTCTTTCATTCAAAGAGCTAAAATTTGTTGAATACATCCATGGTAATCCCAATGATTAATATGCATCACTTGTATCTTCCATAACTTAATTTAGACATAATGTTATATGATGAACTTTGTTTCAGGCTTGAAGTGCCAAGTGATGAAGCTGCTGCTTAGTTACAATCCTCTGTGGCTCCGTATTGGTTTAGAGGCTGTCTATGGCCAAACTATTCCACTCGAATCAAATTCAGATGTTCAAGGATTAACTAAATTTATTGGTACACGTTTACTCTCTGATCCATATATTGTGCAGCAAAATTCACATCCAACAGTGTCACATTTCTTCCTCCCAGGATTTGAGGATGCAATGAAGAAGTTTACTCTTAAAAAATTCCTCTTACTTGTTTACTTTTTAGACAAAGCTAAAGAAAAGAAACTTATCAGCCATGACCCATGTCTTTTCTGTAAGGATGCAGAACTGAAAGTAAGTTGAAATTTGTATCTTATAACATAGCTAATCTGAATTAAATTTGCAAGAATTCTTCTTCCTAAGGTGTTTCCACTTTGTGGGTCATCTGACATTCAAGCCTGTCCATCTATTTGTATCTTCACAGCTGCTGCTCCTCAGTTTCTTCTCATGTTCCTTGATTCTTTCTGTATGACATGTTTCCTAACTTGTTCTCCCATCTTAATCTTGAACTCCTGCCTGGGTGTTTTCCTTTTACTTTCATGTTGATTTTCTTTTTGGGTGTTTTTGTTCATTCTTAAAATGTATTTTTCAATCTTGATCTGTCTTTGTTAACTGACCTGCATTTGTCTTTAAATTCTAATTTTCTCACTTCTTATTTTCTTGGTTTTTCCTTGATCACAGTTCATTCTGAATCTATAATGAGGAGTTTTAGATAACAAAATTATGGGTCCAGATGACATATACTAAAACACATTTACATAACAGTTTTTTATGTACACTCTTCACTAAATATTACTAAGGTGATCATGTCATACACTGGAAGATGAACAAGTCATGAGAGAGAACCTTGGTTATTCCTTCATTAGGCTTTTCTTCCAGACTATCCAGAACACCCATAATCCAAGAAAGTATTTTCAAAGACCACCTGGCCTTTAACATTCTTATCTATGTTACAAATTAGTCTCTGGTAGAATATTTATGTTGCAGGGCTGAAAATGATAAGTATGGTTAAGAACTATAAAACATTATTTTTCTCACAGTTAAATAGCTCTATCCCAGAGATACAGTTAGCCATAGTGTGAAATAGGGCATAAACATCAGTGTCTGAGAATGAGTTGTATTTCACTTCAAGGCCCTCTGTAAGTCTGGGTAGTATGGTGCTTATGTGCAGTGGTGATTGCTGCTTTTATTTGTACTAACAGAACTTCTTGATCATTAACAAACATTTTTAATTTCTAGGATAGTCGACAAATTCTGCTTGCTTTCTCACGGGACCTGCTGTCCGGAATTGGAGATATAACAAAACATCTAAAAAGTCTTGGATACATTGTAACACAGAGACAGACTTATCTCGATGAATTTGAATATGCAGTTAATTGTCTTGGAAAGGACCTGCGTGATGGAATTAGGCTTACGTGAGTATTGTAGTGGGTGTCTAAATTTACTTTTTCATTTGACTCCTTTCTGTGGTATATTTCATGTATAAACAATTACAAACGGCTTCTTTACTACTTCTGACATCTTAAAATGTACCTTTCAAAATTGTATATTATTAATAGTAAATAATCCACTGATACTTCATTGTTCAACATAATTTGATTTTGATGAAAGACTCTCAGGTTACAAGCAGCGTCAGGTGGCTGAATGGTGAATAAACTATCTGCAAGCACGCTACAAAGGATCAGATTTGTTACGCAGCAGCCCTGACGAGAGTAGAAATTGTTCTCAAAACATTGGCAAAAGACATGGTTTATTCACCATTCAGCCACCTAACACGGCTTGTAACCCAAGAGTCTTTTATCAACTTCAGTCACCATGAAAGCTTCACTTTATACATAATTTGATTTTTTGCAGTCGTGTGATGGAGATAATTCTACAAAACCGAACATTGTCAAATGAACTTCGAGTACCGGCTGTTTCAAGGCTTCAGAAGATTCACAATGTAGATGTTGCATTGTTAGCTTTGAATGGTGCTGGTTATGTCCTTACTGGGAACATCATGGCAAAGGATATTTCTGATGGTCATAGAGAGAAAACACTATCATTGCTTTGGCAGATAATATATAAATTCCAGGTAATTACTGATAGATAAAACAAAACAAGCATGTGTGTAACCTTATACCTAAGTTGCCATGAACAGTGATATGGGAAGAAAAGAAAAAAGAAAATCTTTGTACTCATACTTGTATGTTTATGAAATGATCAGGTACAAATCTCTGGCAACAATTACCATGTTTTATATACAGAATTCTGCATTCAGGTTAAGATCATATATATTCATACACGTAAGCAGATGAAACTTTCATAAATATCTTCTAAGTATACTATGAACGAATATCTGAAGAAAGACTTCCCAAGGCTGCTTTCAGTTACAAACCTAGCAGAAAAGAGATCGAGGTCAATTTAAAGCCAGAGCAGGCATGTCACCATAATCCATGACGATGATCATCATGAGTATACTTTGTAATTAGTACTTAGTACAATGAAGTGACTCCATGCAATAATTACTACAAAGATGTGTAGATTAAAATTTTTCTCTTACAAAATTGGATGCACTGTTTAAAGAGGTAATAAGGTATTGAATATTGTATGCACAAAATTAGGTTCAACAGATGCTTGTGGTGGAAGATTGGTTTTAGCATACAGAATAGGAAAAGTGTGATTTCTTTGACATGTAATCAGTTGTTACTAAGGTTTTTAAGTTATTTTTGATCCCTCACATATGGCAAAATTGTCTTGGTTGTATTTTCAGGAGCCACGCTTCATTGATGCAGCAAAGAAGATTCAGAATTGGTGGCGTCATCAGTCACTCAAACTGGAGATACGTCACCGTATACAAGCCAGAAAGTTGGCTCATCTTACACAAGCAGCCACTAGGATTCAGGCTTATTGGAGAAGTTACTGTGCTCGAATGCAACTGGAAATCCTCATTGCAGAGGAAGCAGTAAAATATGCAGCACAACAGAAAGCCAGCATTGTTATCCAAAAGAACTGGAGAATGTACTTTGAACATAAGAAATATACATATGTTTTGAACTCTGTAAAAAAAATTCAATCATGGTACAGAAATATTAAGATGGCAAAGAAGGAACGAATGCAGTTTCTTCAGAGGCGCCAGACTTTGATGAGCTTCCAAGCAGTATGCCGAGGATACGTGTACAGAAGGAGACTAGCAAGCCTTCAACGTACAGCTGCTGCACTTAAGATACAGACATGGTATAGACGTCACATAGAACGAAAGAAAATTGAATCTTTAATACCACTTATACAGAAGCTTATTGAAAAAGAACGCTTGGTTTCTGCAACTGTTACTATTCAGAAGAAGTTTAGAGCAACAATGCTAATGCGAGCTGACAGGCAACACTTCCTACAACTTAAGTCAGCAGCAGTAGTTATTCAAAGAAGGTTACAGGCTACATTACTTATAAAGAAACAGGCCGAATGGTACCAACGACAAAAGAGTGCAGCAAGTACCATTCAGAACAAATTCAGAGCAACAGTGTTGATGCGAGCTCAAAGACAACACTATCTGCAACAGAAGTTTGCATCAACAGTTATCCAAAGAAGATTCCGTGCTACACTACTTATGAAGAAACAGGTTGAATGGTACCAACAACAAAGGTCTGCAGCAAGTATCATTCAGAACAAATTTAGAGCAACACTGATGATGAAATTTGAAAGGCAGCAGTTCCTGAAACAAAAGTTTGCAGCAGTAGTCATACAAAGAAAATTTAAAGCCATGCTAATAATGAAGGAACAAGTGCAGTTGTACCATCAACAAAGATCTGCAGCAATCATAATCCAAAATAAGTTCAGAGCAACACTGCTGATGCGTGTTCAAAGACAACACTTCTTGCAACAGAAATATGCAGCAACAAATATCCAAAGAAAGTTTAGGGCCACATTAATTATGAAAAAACAAGTTGAGTTGTATCAAAAGCAAAGATCTGCAGCAAGTATCATTCAGAACAAATTTAGAGCAACAATGTTTATGCGATCTGAAAGGCAGCAGTTCCAGAAACAAAAGTTGGCTGCAACAGTAATCCAGAGAAGGTTCCGGGCCATATTACTGATGAAGAATCAGATGCAGAAGTACCACCTACAAAGATATGCAGCTATCATTATTCAGAAGAAATTCAGAGCAACACTGATGATGAAATTTGAAAGGCAGCAGTTCCTGAAACAAAAGTTTTCAACAACAGTCATACAAAAAAGATTTAGAGCCATGTTAATTATGAAGAAACAAATGCAATGGTACAAACAACAAAGATCTGCAATAGTCTTCATACAAAGAAAGCTCAGAGCAACAATCATTATGCGATGTGAAAGACAGCACTTCCTGAAACAGAAGAATGCAGTAATTCTTATTCAGAGATTATTCAGGGCTAAATTACTGAAGAAGAAACATGCACAGAAGTGTCAACTTCAAATATTTGCTGTGCGTGTCATTCAGAACAAATTCAGAGCAACAATGTTGATGCGTTCTGAAAGGCAACACTTCCTGAAACAGAAATTTTCAGCAACAATTATCCAAAGAAGATTTCGAGCCACATTACTCATGAAGAAACAGGCTGAATGGTACCAACAGCAGAGATTTGTAGCAATTTTCATTCAGAACAAATTCAGAGCAACATTACTGATGCGATCTGAAAGGGAAAACTTTCTGAAAAAGAAGTCTGCAGCAATTACTATGCAAAACAAATTTAGAGCCAAAATTCTGGGACAGAAAGAAAGAAGTTCCTTCTTAAGAAAAAAATCAGCAGCACTTGTAATTCAACGGTGGTTTCGAGCCAACTTAATGAAGAAAGGAAAGGAGCGCTGTACAATTTTAAAATCTAGACAAGAGGAAAATAGAAGAAAGACTGCTGCTGCCATCAAAATCCAAGTATGTAGACTAGTTGTAAGTCATTAAATGTTTGTCCATTTCACTGATTCCCCGGTCTGTTCCACAGAATCTTGAAATTTCACATTTTGTTCTACAGATACATTTTCTAATGGTGATTTTGATTAAAACTCAAACTACAGAATACTTTTTAAATTAAAATTATGAATCAGAGGCTTAATCAGCTTTCATACAAAAATGTAGGCTGCAGTTCTGATCCAAGATTTTGCAAAACAACAATTTGAGGTAATCCAATTGCTAAATAATTTTGTAGCAAATATGTGTTTGCTTGAGATTTTTCCACACAAGACATTCTCTGCAGTTGAAATAATTTTTCAGTATCAATGATAAGAATCCAGTGCAGAATCTGATAACCATTATTTCTTATTCTATGTGGAAGCAATGATTCACTGACCACAAGATGTTTGAATAGTATTTCTGTGTGAAATCCTGAGAGCCCTTATTGAGTTGTTTTTAGAACAGAATTATTAATATATTTACATGTTTATAGTGAGCACTTTCTATTTATTATAATAAATTTCTAAAGTTTAACAGCATTTCAGGGTATAAATCACCTGTATACAGTTCTGTAGCACATTTTTCTTAACTTCTTTATATTTACGTGCAGCTTTCATTTATTCTTCACGATCAGTTACATTGTAGCACCTTGTTTAACCATCTTACAGACAGCAGAGTATTTCTTAACTTGTTGTGATAACCATACAAATGTTTCCAAATCTTTGTCAAAAGGTGACACAGTATTTACAGTTTGTTGCTGACAATAGAAATAAAGGAAAGTTGTGGATAGTACAAACCAGGACATCCTAGACAAAACAATGTGCTCTTATGATGATGTTCTTCTGCGTTGTGTGATGCCATGTGGACTGGTAGACCGAAACCAAGACTTCAGAGAAACATATTGTCTCCTGAAGATTAAAACTGTGTTTTTCCGAAGTGTTGGTTTTGACCTACCAGTCCACATGGCATCACAACCCAGAACAACAGTGCCTTCTTCACCATCATGAAAACCTCAGATCACACAATGTGCTGTGGTTTGTGCTAGCCTATGACATGCAGGACATAGCAGTTAAAGGGTTAATAATATGCATTCACTTCTGTATCTCCACTTTTCATTAAAATACATTTAGTATTATTAAATTTAGTATTTTTCAATTATGCAGGCTCTGTGGAGAGGGTACAGAGAACGTAAAACTGGGTCTCAGGAGATGACTGCTGTAAGGGAACGTGCCCTGAGTACCGCGCAGAATGCTCTTCCTGGGACAACACTACAAACTCGATCCACAGCTGCTCTATTCATACTTCAGAAAACTTGCTCAGGCCGCCTTATATGGGCCCTCATGGAACTTGGTAAATTAAATTTAGCAGCTGCAAAAGGCAGCCTTTTACTTTGCATGTTCTCATCAGTTTCCAAGCCAATCAGCCCTCTGATGTCTTGACAGTTCCAGTCAGTGGCAGCTCTAATGAATTTATCTCAACAGACATGAAAACATACAAAATGCATTCATTATTTTAGTCAGAGAGACTACTTGAAAGACTTGAGCAGAGGTGGAGTTTAACATTAAAATGAATCTCCAAGAAAATGTTGATCTGTGGCTACTAACAATGTGATTGCACACAACATGAAGGCAGTACTGCAGCACAACTTTAAAATATTGTCCATTTATAGTCTTTACCAGTGAGTTACTGAAATGTAATTTCACTGGGCAAATTAGTAAAGTACATACTTCTCATAATTTCACATCACCAACAGAATACAGAAGAGTGTACTATAAGAAACCCCTTTTACTTATGGTGAACATAATCAAGGGAGAGTGCATGTACTACAAGTGTATCTGACTGCAAATGGATTAACAGGTCAGCAGAGTGCTACTGGAATACAGAGCATGTTAAAATACACTGAAAAGGTTTAAAATAAGAACTGTTTCATGATGGATGTATTTGTTTGTAGTTTATTTAACAACACATTTTCAGTAACTCTGACTATATAGTGTCAATGTGATATGGACTATTATTATTCTTTGTGTTATAGCTAATATCAAACTTTGGCCTTCCTCTAAGGTAAAGATTATGTAACTCCAGTGCCATAATTAGACTGATTTAATGTTTCCTTCTCTCATGTTTCAGATACAATTACACAACTTTCTCCGAAACTTTGTGTGGACATTGCAAACAGCAGTGTTGTGAAGACTATCTATAAGTGTCTTGGTAATGCTAATCGCTCTGAAGTTGACAAGGAAATGTGCACAGTGGGTACCAAGGTCCTCATTAATTTAGCCAAGTATGAGAAAAGTTCTGCAAGTGTTTGGCAGGTAATACAACAGACACATTTTACAGAAATATTGATAAACTACATTTCAGACCAGGATGAATGTCCTTGGAAGTCAGCCTCGAGACAGGATTTTGTAGTTATCCTCATTCTCCCCAGGAGTGTGTCTCACATTACACCACAACTACTTCTGTCCCATTCTTTTCAATTCACCCTATCATTTGATGTACAATTTGAGCAACTGAAATTGTCATTAAATGAATAAAAAATATTAAATCTGAGAAAAGAATTTCTTAAATTCTGGGTACCATCATTATATTAATATTTTATAGTCTCATACATGCAATATATGGTATTTGTTACTAACACAGATTACACCTGTGTGCTAATAGGCTGACATCTGTGAAATGTATCAAATCAGGTGACTGTGTATATGAAAATAATTCTTTCTGACCATTCTCGATTCTAAAGGATAGTACAACATTTCTGTATTACATACTATTACTCAAAAATTACAACAGACTTTCATTATTAAACATCAAAGCATGAAAAGAATATTTGTTTAATATAAGTTTGATATAGTCTATATTTCACTGGACTTTCTTTACTTAATAGTGTTAAGAGATTAAACATCAGACTTCCAAAACTGCTGTAAATGAGACCATGACAGATATCTTTATTGATTTTAGGTGCCTGGAAATGTGACCATAATACTGAATCTGATGTCTGCCTGGTGTGGAAAGAATGATCCTCTGTTTTGCAACTGCTGCACCCTGTTATGGCTGTTTGCACAAGAGCCAACAAATGCTGTGGTAAGTGTAACAGATGCTGAAACTCATTACTGAGCTATCATATGTATCGCAGTCAGCTAGTAATATGTGAATGTAGGTGATAGTGATTAATTTGAAGGACTGAAGAGGAATCTGAACATTCAATTAAGATATTAGATAAGAATTTTATTCCAGTAACAGACTTTCCCAGTTTAAACAAAAGGTAACTATAAACATGTGCAAACAATTTAAATCTCAAGCTATTCAAGTTGCTCAGAACTTGGGCACATGCTTGATTGTGTACTGGCTCTAATTAAAATTTGGCATTAAATATAGAAGAAATGTAAATTTGTGTCAGTGTTTTTACACTGTGGATTGTGTTTCATACTTCTGTACAATCTTTGACCACTGAAGTCTGCCTGCCTGGCTAGAGCAAAGAGGAATCCACTTTGCTCCTGGCAATAGGATGGCTGGGAGAGGTAACCAACAGTTTAATGCGGGAACAGAACTATGATGAGGGCCTCAAATGCATATGGGAAAATCTGCATTGCCATAGACTTTCTGAATGTAAGCTGGCCTTACATGCCTCACCCCTAGACCACTGGGTCCCCATCCCTGAAATTATAATAATAAATGCATTTAGAACTTTTCAGAAACATGGTAACTGTCTAACAGTTTTTGTAATCTTTTCTTTCTTCCTTCCTTTTCTGTAGAAGATTGTAAAGGTGCCACAAGTGCAACAGAAATTGACTCATTATTACAAGCAGCTGAAGCAAAAGCAAGATCGAACTCAAGCTCTGATGAAAAGTTTGTCCAAGGTGAAGGCCAAACAACCAAAGTTTGTTCTGCCATCCCTCAAACCTGACTGGAGTTTAACAGGTGCATGTCTTCAGCAAACTTTTGAAAATCCCTTATATGCTGTGAGTTCTGTAATTGAACAATTAAACATGAAACCAGATGTGAAATAATTTTAGTGGTGATCCTTTGAGTTTTTATGTGGAACATTTTATGCAAATGGGTTTGCCACATTTAGTTTTAAAAAGAATCTGAGTTGAAAACTTAAGAAGCATGGCCTGGAAATTCTTTGATAGGAGGGCACCCTATAAGACCTATAATCAATTATTACACTAAAATATTTTAACTGAAATCTCACAATTTTGACACGTGAAGTCAATGAAAGCTCCTTCACACTGAATTAATAATCCTTTTCGGTAAATAGAAATTTAAGTATTATACAAAGTGCAAACAGACCATTGTTTGTTATACTGTTAACACATATTTTAAGTTTAAAGTAGGGCTTAAATAAAATGTATGTTATTTTATTATATAATAACTTTATGTTCATAAGCAATGATACAATGTGGGACTGGTACTTTGTAACAGAGAAACATGTATTTTATTCTGGGGACTGAAATAAAATAATTTTTTGCTTTGAGAAGTTTTTAGTGTCAGTTTAATATCTGAAGGGTTCAGGGCAACAAAGAGTTTGAGGATGGTTTATTAAACAGTATTGCTCTTACATATAATACCCATAACAAAACTTGCATTTTGCTGTGGTTTGCCTATATGTTGCTTCTAAGTTAAGTACAATTAGCTAAAAATAAATACATTCTACAATAACATAATTTTATTTCTTTCTGATTTTTACAATTAGAATAATGGAACGTGCTTCGGAATATTTATGTGATCCCAAATGCTTTGTAGTCTCTCTTCACTAATTTTATTCAGTCTGCTTGAGTGCTTGCCATGATCATCAATCTGAACACAACTATTGCCTATGATCATTTTTTGCAATTACTGATTATTTTGCAACTGTGAACAGAAACTGATCTTTGCAAACCTGAACTGGATTTCCATCAGCAGTCTGCAGATTTTCTTTACATTTTGAAAAGTATTTCTACTATTACTTTACTAGTAAGAATATATAGTATGTTTTATACTGACATTTATAAAATAATGATTTTGGCTGGCACTCCCTGCATCATAGAGGTTATGTACCATGCAAGAAATAGTACTGTACGCCATTATTAATCCATCACTGAAATGGGTAAATTTTCTGTTTTCATTTGGCATGTATTCTTCTTCACTGTCTACCAAAGCATTATAAATATTGCAGTCACTAAATTCTTGGGCTATGAACCTTATGTTTTAAAAAAGCTGGATCAGCTTCCATCCTCACGTTAAAAGGGGGGAGAGGCACCAACTCAGTTGGGACCAATAGAAAGAACTAACCTCAATTACTGGACCTGAGGTTAGCTCTTTCTATTGGACCCAAATGAGTAGGTGTTTTTTGGCAGTTTACTAGGCATGATAATGTTTAAACATGAATTAGTATATGATTGGGGTGAAAGTAAGACTAAATCAGTAATTCTGCTTTCCACACAATACAAAATAAGAATTACTGCTGCTAACATATGAATAAAATATTTTTTTATAATGTAATAATAGGTGTAAAGTAAAGTTTGTCCCACTACATGTCATAAAGGCGCTTGGGGTAAGTGGAGATATAGTCCTCTCTCTCTTGACCTTGGCACTACATAGGGGTGAGTGGTCGGTGTCACGCCCCGGTCGGCTTTACCCCTGGGAAAGGACCCCGGTACCCATTGTAGAGGAGGCTGGGTGGGCCCCAGAGCTAGTCAATAATAGGTGTAACTGTATTTACTTTTGCATTCCTACATATGTCAGACATTTATCTGGGTGACAAGTATATTAGCAATTACCATAAAGACTTGGGTATAAATTACATTTTGTGACGTATATATGGAAGGGTCATTCAGCAAAACAGCGTCAACACAAGGAATAAAAATCAGCTTCATGCTTTCAGAAGAGTGCATATTATGCAGGGATCAAAATTTTCAATAGTCTACCATCAAGTCTCACAAGTCTTGTAAATAAGAAGGAGCAATTTAAGGTAGCATTAAAAAGATACTTAATTACACACTCCTTTTACTCTGTCAATGAATGTATGTTGTTTACAAATAAGTGATAATTTTTCTTGTGTAATGGGTAGATCTATTTGTAGCTTATCATTTCTTTAGGTGAATACTTTGTTTTGTATTATGTGAAATTTATATAATAGTATGAATTGTACTTTATAATATGTATTGTATTATTATTATTTTTATTATTATGACTTTTTCCACATCCTATTATCATCTGACTGTCTTATGGATCCATGGAATGTAAATAAATTATTATTATTATTATATCCCATCTATTCACCACTTTATGGGGTATGTACTTCCATGTACCCGAGACAAACCTTGTCCCCAAGGTACATAGGGCAGCATCTATTTCTGGGATCCATATTGTGTTTAGCAAGTGCCACATATATTATATAATTTTATTTTATGAAAGCGTCTTTCGGATGATGTATGAAGTCCCCAAAATGGTGGTCTTCTGCAGTTCCCTGATGTCGTGTTCGCCCGGGATGTTGGCCAAATATTTCCTGAGTGACCTG